TGTGATAAATAGTCAATGACACCAAACTCCCGACCAGTCTAGCAATTTTTTGAGTGTGTGTCTGACTTGTCAGTAAATAAGAAAAAGTCACTAAGAAAATCTTTTCGATTCCTTTTGATCCCAAAACTCTGAATGTCAGTTAATTTTAAAATGGAAACAAGCAGAAAAATACTTCTCCAGTATGGAATAAAAACATTTTGTTACAGTTTTCATATTCTTTACATGTTCTTAAAATCTTAACCTATTTTTCTTTCACATATACAATGAAGGACCTGATTTCCCAAACCAGCAAGAAATCAGCTACCTACGCTAAATACAGCATTTTCCTTTGATATGAAATACTCAGATGAAACACATCTTTCCATATTCTCTTTGTAAATCACAAGTCAGACATAAATTTGAGATAGAAATACTCAATTTAGAACTCCAGAATCATTTACATGGTAAGAACACTTATAATGTTGTTTGTTCTTTCTAAAACAAATACACATCAACAGGTTGGTTTGATTTTTTCCTAAGTATACAACTACTTTGTGATATTTACTACTGAAAAAACCTCACTTAAAATTATATATCCTTAGCTGGTATGCAAAACTGATTTCAGAAAAAACATAATTTCTGGAAAAATATCAAAGTTGTTGCTATTCTTATTCTTTATAATTAATTGCAGTAGCATCTGAAGCATACCATGGACCAGAAAGTGCCTCCCCACACCCTGACTTGATAATTAAAGTATTATATTCATTTTTCAACCATATTGTATATCATATATATATACATAAAAGAGAAGAAAATGAAAAAATAATTTATCCTTCATATACCTCAATGTCATAACCAGTAAAATGGGATTAGGCACACTTGTAAAAAGGATGCTAAACTATTAACATTTATAATTTTGGACCACATTAAAATCATCAGCTAAAAGATGTAGCACTTTTATAATTTTTTTTTTTTTCATCATCCCTGAACACACTGACAAACCAGAATATTGGAACTGACAATCACTTAGTGACTTGAAAACTGCTATTTAATCTTAGGGAGGGCAGTAGTATTGTTTCTTAGTCTATGTCCTCTCCAAATCAGGGTGCCTTTCAGCAACCTAATCATTCATAGACATGTTTCACAGAGTCTTACAAAATTCTTCAATAACACATTGACATTTCCTTGGACCTCTAGAATAAGTCAGTCTCAATAAGCCAGGCAAATACTTTTCTAGGGGGGGGTAGTTTCATAGGGAAAATGAAATATGAAATAGGTAGAAATGGACAATTCTTATTACTTTACACTACAGAAAACCCGTGTTTCCTAAGAATGTGATGTAAGTGCAGATGTCACAAAAAAGGGGGGCAACAAAATACAACTGTACTCAAAGATAAAGAAGGTACAATATTGCAGAGTGCATTGCACTCAATGTGGTAAAAAATACTTCACAGAAGAGAATTGGAGGAAATCTTATGAGTGCAACTGACGTTGTCTAGGCTCTTAGAGATGAGACAGTAATGGCAGTAATAGATACATGCTGAGCCTGCGTGTGTGTCATCATTTGTGCCTCCGTCTTACTTGGGCTAGTCCCTGAGAATAAACGTAGAAGGTCAGGCATGTGGTAATAGTCCGAATGATGTAATTTTTGTGAAAAACCTGGGAGGAATGGTGGAACTGTAGAGAGATTGCTTGATAACTGTAGGCTGTGTAGTATGGGACAGCACTCTTCAATTATTAATATGGTGACCTGTAAGTAAGTTAGATTGCTTCTGAACAGCCTCATTTATTCTGCAGACACTAAATTAGAATTTACAGTACTTCATTAAGGCGGTTGGTACATCTGTCCTGTGCACACCAGCTAAGTCCAAGAGAACAGATTGGTTTCTAGAGTATGTCAAAAGCCTGGAGAGGGCTGTTCGTCCAAATCTCATGCTTTCTAAATGACATGAGACATCAAACATTTGAAATCAACATGTGCTCTGCTAAGCTGCCAGCAGCTGGTGTGTACAGATTGTTACTTTTTCTGCTTCTGCTGTAAAAATCATGTTAATTGTATATATATTACATGCCATGCTTTTAAAAAGTTGTGCAAATGGAACATTAATCCTATTTTTGATAGGACAAGCTGATGTTTTTCATCAGTGCTCTTTGAATTAATAAGCACTAAAGACAGGTTTTGCAGGAACACACACAGATGCTAGGCATCTAACACCCATTGGCATAATGAGAATTATGTACTTTGGGGTTTTGTAATTCTAAGAATCTGATTCAAATTCTTAGTGGAGTTAATGGAAAGACTCCCACTGACTAACAATCAATGATGAGCTCAAAAGCCGTTCAGAGATTCAGAATATAACTTCTTAAATTAAAAGCAGGTCTATAGCCCCTTTTCCCTCCCTCAGTGAATTAAAACTTTTCTAATCAGACACAAATTAATACCAAGCAGTTGAAACAAACTGCTCGACTTCTTTCATAGTTTGTTTTTCATTGATGACCAAAGGTTGAGATATTTTTTTTGTTATACCATGAGCAGGATTGTAGTGCATCTTTCAAGAGATAGGTGAGACACTGAGAAGTAAAGCTGCAGCTCAGAGGCAGCAGGGTCTGTCCTTCTGAGGCTGAAAAGGACAAGGGAAGAAAGAGTCATAAGTTTAGATGTTCAGAAAGACTCAAAGATTTAGAAAAAGTAAGACTATCGGTGGCATAAGAAGGGTTTTCACAGAGGGAAACTTGCTGAAAAGATAAAGGGAAAACCTTTTCTATACCTCCTGTTGTCAAAGAAATAATGAGTTTAAACTGCAGTAAAGAATGTTTAAATTAGACACAGTGGAAAACTTGCTAATTTTAATGATGATTAAGAACTTGAATCGCTTGCCTAGCCAGAATGCTGGAATCCTTGGGGATTTAAGAATGGATAAAACAAACATCTGTCAAGAATGTGTTAGGAAGAACTGATCCTGTCTTGGGAAAAAAACTTGATTAAACTCTCAAAATCTCTTTCAGCCTAATTTTATCTGATTCCTTCTTTTCTTTTTCTCATCCAGAAGGACTGACTGTGCAGAACAGACTGTGCCAATATTTTAAGTTCTCGTAAAGCTGCTCATGAAGTGTGCATTCAGGTAGACAGATTGACAATAGAATACACTTAAACAGATGTTTTAGTTCTATATCTAAATAGAGCACTTCTCTGAAAATAGGAATTCAAGGTCATATCCTTCCATAATTCACCCCTGCTCCCCAGTTTGAGTGAGGAATATCTTCATTTAGTTGGGTGAAATTTCTTCTTACACATGTTATTATCTTTTTTCTACTTAGGTTGAGTTCAGGAACAAAACTTTTCAAAACAGATATAGTGGGGATATCTAGTAATGACAAGAAAAAATACAACTTTCATTGGTTTGAAATTTTCTGAAGCATTTTATTTTGCATATAGTAATTGCAACAAGTGATTGTATTAAAAATTCTATTGCATTCTGCCTGAAGAACTTTCTACATTTTGGCTTTGAATGACAAGGTTGTTGATATATTTGTGCAACTGATAATAAAGGAAATATGAAGTTAGCGGGCCACAATAAGTAAATGATAATCAAGATATGGTCTGAAAGCCTTGTGACCAAGCAGATTGCAATTCATTATAGAAGAGCTCCTTAGAGATGCAAGAATTTTTTCACTGAACTATTAGAAGGGAAATGGTTGGTTACTCAGTGTAGTTGCAAAAGTTCAGTAAGTCACAATATTTTGGGGCACAGGTCTCAGGTCTTCCCTTTTAAATATTGTCTTCTTGATACGAAAAAGCATCAGCATGATATAGTGCACTGAACAATCAAGTCTTTTTTATGTGTACAATTTTGTTTTGCTGAGGGAGGGAGAATTCTTTTACTAAGCACAGCAGCAACTATGAAATTACTCTCTATATCTACGCTCTTATTTCAAAGTCACCCTTCCCAACAAGACCTATTTCCTGTAACACAGAACTTCTTGTTTTACTCATGGCCTCTAGAATGGTTGTTACTCTTTAATGTTAATAGTATGTTATCAGGCCAGTTAGTAATATAGTTTTATAAAAGCAGCCTGGAATTGATTAAACATGGGGGTTGCGGTAATTGAAAATGATGAGGTGGAGACTGGTTGCTTCACAACAGATGGCCTTTGAATCCTGAATATGCCTAATGTCTAAGAATATCTGGTATTACAGGTCACTTGTTCCTTTGTGATGTCAAATTCTGTTTTTAATGTATTTTATTTGGTACTTTCTGTTTTTCTAAAAATTTGACATTTTTTTCTAGGAGTATAATGTGTGAAAGTATTGCAGATAAGCTCTGAATTTAATTCCTTTTCTTCGTTTTCCCAGTTTTAAATATTCTCATATTACTTTGCCATAGAGGATTGTGTTCTTGGGTATTTCATCAGCTGAGCAAATCTTGTATTGCCCATCCCATGGACTGAATGAGACTCACATTCCTTGGGAAAGTAGGACACCATGTCACATTTAACCTCATCAGAAGGTTGTCTAATCAACTTCAGATCTTGTTCTTTGTAGGTTTTGAGTATTTTAATACTATTATTATTGTTTTGATTCAAGGTTCCTTTTGCTATGTTACTTATTACTTCCTTCTTATGACTAGATTTTTTAAAAGAGAACAGGAAAACCAATTCGGAACAGCAAAGTTATGTTCACACAGCAATTTTAACTCAGTGTCCTTCTAAATCTAGTATATTCTAGAAGGAAATGGCTTTTTCCTCCTCTCCTCTACCTTGAGCTGTTTGATCCTTGTCCCTCCATGTGGGAAAAAAAACAACCAAGCAAAAAATGCATTCATTTTTGCTAGGTGACGCATCAGTTCCCTGGTCTGAGTCTCTCGTGTATGTGCATGGGCAGAGGTGACACCAAACCAGAAAAAGCAGGGACAACGGACTGTTTGTCTCAGTGACAAGAGAGATATATATGTGTGTATATATATATATATATACATATATACATATATATATGTATAAAAGAACAAAGTTGCTGTATAGACATGGCTGACACCCACGTGCATCTTCGGCAAGGCGTGCATCTCTTGCGTGGATTGGATCCAGATGAGAGGGTGACCTCAGGCCTGGTGAAGGAGCTGGGGAAGAAGACACAACACACACTGCCATTAGACAACAAAACTGTTCATCAGAGAGAAGTAAAGACTCAGGATACAGGGAATTGTGTTGGGAAGAGCAGGGCTGGCTGGTAAAAACACCTTAGTTAAACAAGAGTCACTGGGTGAAAGCTCAAACTTCTCAATAGACTGTGGCTACAACAGCAAAATGTTCACCTTCTGCTGTGAATGAACTGAATTGAACTTTTGGGTAGCAAAACCAAAATGTCTGTATATAATCTTATTTTATCTTGATGACAGTTCTCATTAAAACCTTATTATTATATCCTGCATTATTTTGGATGTTATCAGGAAAATTAGACACTTTCATTTTCTGTAATTTTTTGTTCAGCTCTGAATTTAGACTTAATTTTTACTTCCAAATTTACGTAAAAGTTCTCCTGCTACCTTTTTCCTTCCAGTTGCAATATCCTTCCTAGAAATTCAACTGTTCTGTTGTAAATACTCCTACACTTCCTGCTTACTTCATATGTATTATTTACTGCAGTAGCTCATAAATCATATTTTCTTCTTTGTTAACCAAAATAAGTTAAGAAGGGTGTGAAGGAATTTTCTAACTGCATTTTCCACTCCCACTTTATTTCCTGTAAGCATGCTAGATAGGAGCATGAAAGAAATCCACACCTTTAAAATTGAACTTCCTCTTTTTTAAGGAACTACTTCAAGAAAAACTACTATCGCTGCCAGTTCCTCAAACATATGTTCAGACACTACTGAAGACTGTCTTCAGAGTTATGCTAACAATCATAAAATGATGCTGCAAAGTACCCACTTGTGTTTAGACATGCAAACAGTCATTATACATACTTTCTGACTGTGGTTCATAATATCTTTTGGTTTCTGAGGAAAATTGTAGCCAATTAATAACACATTCATTCTTTGTAATATGAAAGCCCAGATGGGAGAAGGTTTCTCTCAGTGATGATTGCCATTGTGTTCTTATTAAGCTATAGCAGAAAAAAATTCATTAATCAAAACATAATTTGACAAATTCTTGATTATACCAATATGACTAATGGGAAAATAACAGTCATTGAGGAAAAAAGGTACAAATTTAGAATATGACTTTGCATATTTGATTGTGGTTAATAACCAGCTCAATATAAAATCAAAATATAGGCTTTGGAAAGCTAGCTAATTTGTGTTAGTCTGCATGAAAAGCAAAGGTATGTTACAGTAAACAGTGATAATGTATTAGTCAACACTGAATAATCAGAATTTTTTGTCTTCTGAGATTTGCATCAGAACTTCGAGTGCTTTAGCAAAAGACTTTGCAAGATATTGCTTCATAGGTTAATTGTTTTCCAACAGTGTTATTCACAGTGACATTACTTCTGCATGTCCCTAGTGATACATACTGTTAAAATAATTTTTTTTCATTAAATTTTTAGAGATAAAATTGTCCATGTTTTCTATTGAAGTGTTTTCATTATGGTCTATAGATTTGAAAAAGTGTTCTTTTGGTGTAATTTAAAGTAATAGGTGAGGGATCCAGTTACGTGCATTGTTACTTTCTCTCCCAGAGAACTTTGCCTCTGGTGGTAAAACACAGTCTTTTTTGAAGGATATAGGGAAGAAGTGATTTAAAACACTCTAAATAATAGAATATATGATTGAACAGTGTAAGAAAATTATTAGCAGAATCGTCTCAATTCTATTGAAAGAGTAATTGTACATTCTGCCATCCCGAATTGATATTTTAAGAAAAAGGTCCTAGAGAAAAGAAAATACAGATAGATTGTCACAGGTGTGCAGCTCGATTTAAGTCTGTTTTGTAGTGTGGGAGCAAAACACTTCTGGGAAAAGAAATGAAGCAGAAAACCAGAGGAAAAAAGGTGAAAATATTCTGCTTCCTTTCACTTTTTTATCTCTGAACATGCTCTCACAAATATGATTTCATTTAATACTGTCTTACATTTCCTCAAGATTAATACTGATTATTTCCAGTCATAGATGATGACATTCATTAAATTAACATATGTTCAACTGTTGTGCATTTTGTCTCTGTAATTCATAAAAACATTTCATTCTCAAGTGTTGTTTGGTATGTTAGAAAAACTGCAGCTTAATTTCTTCACACTTTTCTGTGCTTTGCAAAGCATTTCCAGTGTGGAAAGTTGAAAGGATTAAAGGTTGGTGTCAAATACACTTAGTTAAAATTTTCTCGTTTATATTTTGTTGTGTTTTTATGTGTATTATGTGAGGTTCTGGAGCCCAGTTGGCCTGGCTTTTCACCAAAAACCCCACAGCAGCCTAAAATCAAAAAAGAACTGGTCTCAAGCCCAACATTTTGATTTGGCATAGGAGCCACAGCAGCCTGTAAGAGCTGTAGGGCAGATGGCTCCTGTCTCTGCTGTTCTCCCCAGGAAGGGGGACCTGACCCTCTGTGGAAGTGAAAAACTGGTCCCCAGCTCAAAAAGAAGCAGGAGGCATCGTGGTAGTAAGGGCCAACCAATGCTGTCAGGGGTTTGTTGGTTCACTGCAAAATTAGAATCCTTTTCCTAACTTTTCACTGTATCTCTTCATTTTTTTTTTTTCTTTTTTCTTTTTCTTTTTTCAATATATATCTTCATAGTATCACAAACCACATAAAGGAATGCTTAATACAGAAAACAAAACAATTGTTAGTTAAGTGTATCAGCTGTCTCGATTTGCTGCACTGTCTGTGGTAGATTGGCCTGTCTTAAAATGACTTGGTTCAAAAATGTCAAAAAACATAAGGTTTGAATTGTAAATTCTTCAGCAACTAAAAAATGATTAAACAATTCCATGTAGCAACATGAAAAGAACTAGAGCTGTATTTCATATGGCACCACCACAGTAGTCATCACTTGGTCTCAGTTTTTTGGTTAAGTATGGGATCTAGAAATACTCTTCAGAAATGCAGTTTATCTTAAATCTTGATTGTGAACTTGATTTTAGACAAAATACAACCTAACAAAAGATTTGTTGCAACAAAAGGTCAGACTGAAGCACGTGCACAAAAATTCACTGTTCTATGAGATATCTGTCATTTGCATTAGTAAATTGGATTAATGTGAAGATTTAGGGCCTGTATAGTTGTTTGTTCATATAATGCGTATGTGTCTTCTAGCAAACAGGCACAATGGATCTGGTATACCTGAGCTGTGAGCACTGGAGAAGCGCATGTATGTGAACTACATATGTGTGACCAGACACAGTTGTCCTGTGTACGCACAACAGCCCTGTTTTGGGGCTTTGTTTTTTTGTGGATTTATTTTTATTTTTTAATTCGTAGATGTCTGTAATTATGAACAGACTTCACTCTGGGCATTAAGAAACCTCTGCCTTTTAAGGTGCTAATATCTGTTGGACAGTACTTCTCTATCCAAAATACATGCTAGCATTGTGTAAATTATTTTGCAATGAAAAGTCTGCTGGAGAAGCTTATGTAGAGAAACTTTTCAGCTGAACATGCAGAGTCAGGAAATCTGACTTCTGCAGTATTTACGCATATAGAAATCATTTGGTCATGATGTTTTCCCTATGTCATGTTCAGATTGTGTACTTTTTCCCTTGATTGCCAGAGGCTTTTGAGAGACTGGCTGGCCCTTCTTATGTATCAATTTAATTGCTTGGATGACTACATAAAACATATTACAAAGTATAAGGAAAGAGTGTGTCATTAATTATAAGGATTAAAGTTTCAGAGGAGTTGAGTGCGTTTCTATGGATTATCAAAGGCTTTCTTTTACTTTGAAAAAGGTTTTCATTCTCCACTGGAACACTGAACTTGTGATACTTCCCTACTTCATATAGTAATTTTTAAAATTAAAAAGGATTGTAGGTTACATAAGGTTTTGATACTATGATTTGAAGTTTTAAGAGGTATATAAAATTTACAAAATTAAAGAAGTACATTTAGTTTGGAAACCTAACAGAGATTAGAATTTTGCATGCAACTTTCCAAATAATATAAAACCCCTAATATTTTTAATTCTTTGATAAATTCATACTGATGGATGAAGGACATTGTAAGATCTGTGGACCAAAGCTGACCAGTTCTTGCAGCTGTAATACTGTTATACAATTTGTATGATTAACACAAACAGTGCTTTCATCAAGAATTTGATTTTTTTATTTATTTATTCACCAGGCTAAAAACAGAGGACATAAACTACTATATCAAAAATATTTTCTAAATTATTAGGAGTTTTATTCTTTACCTTCAAAACCACTCACTCTTCAGTAGATGAAAGATGATTAAAGTTTTAAATGTATTTTAATAAAGTCCTGAAAGGGAATAATTAAGTTCAAATATTTTTGGCAGAATCTTTTGCTTCAGATTTTTCTTCTTTTTCCCCAATACATTGTTTGTCCAAAGAAGCTGTGGTATAGGTTCTTCACTTACCTACCATCAGAACATTGAAAACCAAAGCCTTCTTTTCCAGGAATTAAGGGCAGGTTAAGTTGGCAGTGACTGTGGAGTATGTTGGCCTGACCCTGAAGAATTGACTGAAGGCACACAGAGAGAAAAATCAAATAATATTTTTGCTATTAATTCCATAGCTACAGGAGAGGGAAAGATGATTTGTTTGGGGTTTTTTATTTGTAGATAGGGGAAGACTTTGGTTTTCAACCTCTTTCTTCATTTCTGAAGATCTACAGATCTACAAAAATGAATGTTTAATAATGATCAGGTCATAATGGCTATATTCTTAATGTCAACCCAGTTACTTACTAAAACTGTGAATTAATACTGTATAATCTTCTTGAAAAAATATTTTAGTTCTATTCTGTTCTCTACTAAGGAAAGGGAACATCTATCCACATTAAGATAAAAAGTAGGTAAGATTTTTTTTCCCCCAATATTTATTACAGTTTTCATTGTAAAACATGCATTGGCTAAGGAAATAGATGGACCCGACACTTTTCCTTTATTCCAGTATTCCATTACATAGCCAGTTAATATGAAGGAGTGATAAAGTTAGCAAAAATTAGGACCCAAGTTCTAGCCTCGAGGCTTTGTCTATACATAATCATTTGACCAATATAACAGT